AAAACACCAGCCGTAATCTTCACAAACATTGGAGCATATCACTGAACATTATTGCCCATATGTGCCAGCTGACTTGGCCATTAAACAAAATGGCTAGGCAGCGCCAATATTGTGACAAACGCCAGCCTCGCGGAAGGTGCCTTGCCTCCAGATTTGTCATCAGTGAAATGCTCAACCGTTTGAATTTTTGAGGGCCATGATTGAGATCTTGGTGCACGTTGTTCCTGAGCCGTTGTGACACGCAAGTGGCAGCGGCAGAGCGGTGGAGTGCTCGTCGTGTGGGGAGGGGCGTATTGTGTTCAGAAGGTCGTGTTGTATGGAGTGGGGTGCAGGGGCGGCGCTCTTGCCCGCCCTTGCCATCTCCTGGGCGGCGGCATCTTCAGATCGAAATTTGTGGGAGGTGGCCAAAGGCCATGCTCATGGCATGCCTTGGCTGGGCGTGCCAGCAAGGTGCGTTACAAAACCCGCGAGTAAAGGATCACGAGCGACTGATCATGCGTGTTGCGTTGCAGGGGCACTGAATGTGTGCACGGTTGTGTTGCAGGCGGCAGAATACTCGTGTGACGGCTGCTAACTTTGTTGTGGTTTACATGCCCCGGCGATCGCCTTGCAGCCTGAGCGACAGCGGCGACATTCTCTACCTACCCACACACGATAGCCACCTGTGGCCTCCAACCCTGAAACGTCAATCACGCAAACGTGCGTACATGAACTACTCCACAACCACATGCAAGCTTGAATGCGAACGAGCCACCACCGCCACACCACACCACCGACCCACACACCCCGCACGCCACCACACTCCACCTGCCCACATAGCAAAGCTTACCATTGATAGTGTACGCCAAGAAAGCGTCCTACCGCAGTTGCGGTATCAAAGTGTATTGCCGCAATGTTGTAACAAACCCCTGCCAACAACCGTTGATGGCAACTCTCCATCAATCCTGGTATTGATGCAACGTTGCTGTAGGACCCTTGATGCAACATTGGTCAACGACGATCTACACACACGGGCTCTGAAGCCCGGCAGTGATGGAAGCGCCTATCAATATTGCATCAACGCCTAGCGAATTTCCGGATGTCGGTATTTTAACGTCGGCGGCCATCGCGCCCTAGGGGCAGTCCTCCGTTTGCTCTCACAGCAAAGATACCTGTTGTTTGTGCATGGAAACTGATGGATAATAGGCTCGGTTCTCAGGATGTCAAATGAAGCATCTTGTAGAAGGAGCCAAAACGGAAGCGGCACTGATCTCAAGAACCCATTCACATAATGCGTCTCCCGGCCCAGCCTGTGTCGACACAAGGATAGTTAATGGAGACGCTGTGCGAACACTGGCCGCCACCGCTATGCATTGACAACAGTCGGATATTCCGCAACCGGCTACCACTCAGTTATGCAGTATCAGATAGGGTTACCATGGTGAAATGAGGCTCGTTAATTGAGGGAATGAGCTAAGCACACGGAGGGATACAACTATCCGGTGCGACCTGGTGCCTTTCGCAAGGCCACCTGCCAGCCGTCAAGATATGTCGAAGGGCGCAAACCGGCATTCTTGTGTGCGTTGCCAGGGAGAAGCACAAGTGCATTTCAAACACAATTGCTGTGTGTTCGGGTCGCCAATAAAAAGGATGTAATTCATGCAAAATTGGCGACCCGTGGAACTCACAAAGAAGTTGGGAAATCCATAAAGTACGAAAAAGGGCTTTGTCGCCTCCAAAGGGACAAGCTGCAGCGTAGCAGGAGAATACGGAGACCATAATGGACGAGACGTATGAGTATCTCGATGTGCACCAGATTCTGCCAAGATACGGGACACGATACCGACGCCACGAAGGTCCTGCAAACCCAGGACGTGATGTGATGTATTGGACTTCCTGCACCACCCCCCTGGGCTCACGCGCTCGGCTCAGGAGGCAGCGTCCACACGTGCAAATGGCGTCCGACAATGCAGCACTTCCAAAGGGATGGATGTGCACCGATTGGCCGCAGCAATGCACGTCGATTGGCTCGATCGGGATCGAGGGGCTGCGAGCACCAATGGCAATCGGTGGGGCAAGCGATGGCAGCGATCCGTGTCGAATCTTCGCCGAAAGGCCTATGGGGCCGGGTGAAGGCCCGAGAGCTGCGTGGGGCTGTTGCGTGCGGGACGTACGAATGGCAGGAGTTGCGGGGAGCGGTGCTGGCGCAGCGCGGTGACGGCTTCACGAGGACAGGTGAAACGGGCTGCAGGAGGGTAGGTGATGTACTGCCACCTGTTACCCACAGTAGCAGACAGGGCAGCTACAGTAGGCGTCCACTGGGACGCTGCAAGGCTGAGATTGCACGTCCCAGACGCCTTCCAAGATGGGTGGACTTTGCCAACGACGGACAAAACTCTTCGTTGGAGGTGGTCAACCTGAACTGACACGAGAGAGAGGCTGAAGCGTTCTATAACAAATCCATGACGTCTACAAGACAACCTGGGCAATTGCTGACTATGCTGCCGAGTTTCAAGAAAATGGGATCAATTAGTGTGATTAATGTCACCATGACACTCGAAGTTTGTGGCAACATAAGCGTTCCCCTTTTCGGCGGAACACCTCACCCTACTCCACAATCAGAGAGCGTCCCACCGAGATTTTGTCCAGAGGAGCCACCCACTCCCAGGCTGCGCCCTCTGATGACCACCCTGCGCGATTCACTGCCACATCTCCGTATTGCGTCACGTTGCCGGCCCGCGAGTTGACCCACACACACCCTGCCCGAACAACCCCGAGAACGGCTTCCCTTCCGATCTCCCTCCCTCGCGCAACACATGAACGATCGACCGGACAAACGCGCCTCCGCCAGATCCTCTCTCAAACCGCACATACGACACTTCTACCGCGCGGCGACGCATGTGTGAATTCGCCCCCGCCAGCGGCCTATGTGCGACCCACGCTCGACTCGTGCACCTGCACATTCCCAAGATCGCGGGAGCGCGGGCCCCAGGTCACGGCGCTCGGGCAGTTCCCCTGACATTCACCCCTCCGGTACTTCGCGATTGGAGGCTCGGGTCGCGCCGGTGGGACGGCCCTCAGTGGCTCACGCCTCGCTGCCACCACCCGGACCCCATGGACCACATTATTGTCTTGGGGGCTAAAAATTTGATCCGCGAGGTACGGCTGTCCAATCAAAAAGGTCACGCCTGTCCCATTCCCGCCACTCTTGGCCCACCGCTCCTCTCCCCGCAACTTGCCAAGCCCCCGCCCCCATCCACCCCAGGGCACTGGGGCGCGGCGTCGCGAGCCGAAGGCGGATGGCCGCCCACGCGGGCCCACGGCAGCGGGCACCAGCCGAGGCAGGGTCGAGGCGAAAGGCTCGCCACACAGGTGTGTGTGTGGCTCCCCTGGCGCCCGGCCAAACCACGCAATCCGGCCTGCCTGGACATCGCCACCCTGGGCCCCGCGGAAGCGTTGTTGGACTGCTTTCTGCCATGGCCGCGAGACGTCCGATGGGTTTCGGTGCCGGTTTTTGGCAGTGCTGTCCGCGTTCCTTCGGGGGCTGGAGAATGGGAAGCTCGCAGTGTGTCACACGAGGCTTCCGGCCTGGGGGTCTGCTGTTTTGGGCTGTTTTGCAAGGCCCGCGGGAGCGGTTTTGGCGCCGCTTTCTGGCGTGGCCGTCCGCGCCCCCCACGGGCTGGAGAATCGGGAAACTCGCCGCAGGTCACACACGATGTTCTGTCCCCCTCCAGCCGCCGGCGCTCGGCGTCTGCGCGATCGCGGCCCTCCGGAGAAACGGACCGTCGATCGAGCGGTGGCGCAGATGGAGGGCGTTCCTTCATTGTGGCGGTGGCCGCGGCATGGACCCTGGGCGCGGGGCGCGGCCCACTGCGACCTAATATTTTATGTGTGGTCGCGTCGCTGTGGTTCGGAAGGTCGCCCGGAGGGCAGCCTGGGCGGGGGGGCGGGGGGGGGGAGGAGGGGCCGGGGCGCCGCGCCCGCCCTCCGCTTCCGCCCGAGGCGAAATCTCACCGAGAGGCCGGAAGGCGCGGAAGGCCATTTTTGTCGCACGGCGTTGTGGCGAGTGGCGCCCACCCGGCGGGCAGGGCGCATGCTGCCACAGCCTTGGGATGACTGAAGGATAGGCGGAAGGAAGCCCGCGGCACATCGGCGTTCGCCGTACGTGTCGTGGGAATGACAAAGCGGGTGCCTCACGGCACGATACGACGCCCATCGACGTAGTTCCGGGCGCCACGCTGGTCGCTGTACATTGAGCTGGGGGGATCAATCGTTGACAAATCAGTGGTCGCGTCGCAGGGGGGGTTGATGGCGAGCCAGGACGAAGCGCTCCCTTTCCGCCGCGGCGCGTACCGCCACCGGTCCGACACGTGCCGTAGTTCCGGCATCGGTCCGTAGTTCGGCAAGAGCGCGAGTCGCAGCGCTGATTGCGCTTTTGACGCAAAGCACTGTTATCGCTTTGACCATAGGCCGGTGCGGGGCAGGGTAAAGACTTTGACCTGTTGGCTGGAGTTGAGGGGGCACCGCGCTCGCGCTGGGCGGTGGGCTGCCAGGGGCCGCTGCCGAGCACCCGCGAGGGGTGTTGGTGTCGAATTTGTTGAACGCAATGTTACAGTTTTTGTGAAAAACTATAGATACCTATGACCAGGTTTGTCATCTACGCATGGGCTCTTGCATGCTTATGGAGATTTCTGCATCAACATGGCTGCTACAATAATGCGCCCAACACTAGGTAAAAAGGGAACCCGGGAGGTAGGGCCTGCCTGATGGTTTTCTGCTGGAGGCACGCGAAACAAAGAAAGGCCACGCAGCCATGTGTGCAGTGCGGCCTCCCTGACTGTTATCAAACGATGAGGAGCGCCACTGATGAGGTTTCACACGTGGGCTCATAACAGGCAAGCGCGGGTTGAAAGGCAGGGAGGCGCAAGCGAGCCGTTGGGCCTGTTGTTTCACGCTGTAGTTGGGTGCGTTGCACAGGTGCTGCTACTGCTGCTGCAAGCCGCCCTCAACGGTCGCCGCCGATGCAAAGGGGGGTCCATCCGGGAAGGAGGTTGGAAGGCTTCCGCAGCGTGCTGTCCAGCGCGATGGGGGTGGCCTTCTGCGGAGGTGCGGTGTGTGAGCTCTGGCGCTGAAGCGCTGCCATGTGGTCTTTGAATATGCAGGCTCCTGCAAAAGAAGGCCATTAGTCAGTTAGAGCTATTCGTAGACGTTGAGCCAGATTGCTGAGGCCGGTTGTCGAGATTGATTCCTTTGAATCCCAGTGACCGTTTCGCTTCGGAAGGTCGAGAGAATTGAGGGGCTGTCATGTGTGGATTCAGCATTTCGCAAAGGCAGCGGGGGTCCCAGACTTCGCAATAACCAGCTCACGGGATGATGTTCATTCAATGGCATTGAGTGCCGATCACTCCACATTGAGCCAACCCCCCGTTTTGCTACATCATGATCAAAACAACAATAACGCGGCGTCGATGCTGTTAATGTCATTGCCAATGCGAGTTGAACTGTTTTCCCTTTGGTGATAACCACCACAATTGAAATATTTATTGCATTCCTGTTATGTCTATCGCTATCTGTACTATTCTTTTGGTACCACTGTTGTGGACAAGTGCCAATTGCAGCAGACGCTACAGGCTGAGTAATCCCGCCCAATGCTGCAGAATACTTCAAGCGTAAAGTTTGCGTTGTGTGTTCGGGATTAGGAAGCTCGCCCCGACGCTCCATCGACTGTGAGCCTCTTCCCAGCCTCGTGCTCATAGAGCCTCCATGTCTGGTGGCCGGCGAGAAGTCCAGTGTGGACGTTCGCCTGTCCTGGGCTATGCTGCCAGAAGACCGAATGCAGATGGAGGTGACGGGGAGTAACGGCTGCATCGAGAAGGCCCGCTTCATGTCAAAACAGGGTGATGCGATGAGGTGCGGTGTGGTGCGCGTCGCCCCCGCTTGTGCATGTCGGTGTCACGAAATTTTCACCAGCAGAAAACAGCCTGTCTGCGATGCCAATTGCTGTGCCATTTGACACGAATTGATGCCATCACAGCCACTTTTATGCCATCGCAATCGCTGTGACGGCATCATTTTGTGTCAAAATAGCATTGCAGTTGGCATCGCAGATATGCCGTTTTCTACCAGTGTCTGCGCCAGCATGCTGTGCCCTGGGCTCGCAGAGCTACCACTAGGCGGTGCATGCATGCCGAAACTTCACCGACATGGCATTTCTAGTTATGCATTGTGTCCTTGGAAAGAACGTGTATCTACATTATATTCAGCGTGCGTGTTACGTACAGGTGGCTATGGCACGACAAGTGGATTCCTGTTTATTTCTCTGGGCAGTAATGTCTCTGACACTGAGCCGTTTAAAATTTCAAACAACCCCATCTTCAGCCCACATCGTGCTCATTCCAGGCGCCAAAAACTACACAAGGCGTTCTGGGTGCTCTAATGCAATGTGCATGGTCATCATGGTGCCAATTGAAAGGAAGCGAAATCAACACTTGCTGCCACCAAGCAAGGTCAAACGCCAGCTGAATCAGGTCAAATCAGCTGTACAGTAGGGGGTCCCTATGTAGCGCGACATTGCCAAAAGGGGAGGGGGGGCGCTATTGGGGTCGGGAGCGCCATTGTGTTAAGGTGTAATGGGTACCCTGGCCGCCGGTGTAAGGGGTACCCTAAGCTGCCGGTGTGGAGAGTACCCCAGCCGCCGGTGTATGGGGTATTATGGCCGCCGGTGTAGAGGGTACCTTGGCCGTCAGTGGAGGGGGTACGCTGCACCCGGCCTACGGGTCCCATACTGGCTCTTGGTGCCAGCGGCATAAAGTACTACAGAAATGGTGACAAGCCAAAAAGGGGCCGCTATTGGTGGGGCACTACATAGGGACCCTACTGTACTGTATATTGTGTTTCAATTACGAATTGACAACTCATTGCGATAAATATTGGGAGGATTTTGGAAGTGTGAGTCCACTGAGCACATCTTGTGTGCGACGGGCGTCGCCTGAGTCAGTGCTTTAATGTGTCCCTCCGCAGTCTTTCCATCCCTCCAGTCAAGTGTGGCGGCGTCTGCTTGGATTTCGAGTTGGCCGAGCATGGAGCAAAAGGACCAACGGCCAACTTGCTGGCCTTGCCCAAATGCCCAGCTGAGGAAATGTGCGGCCTGTTCTCGAAGTTGATGTCCGAGATTCAAACCATCAGGGCTCAGAGGGAGTTCAACCTCCCGTTCGCTCATTTCCATCAGGTGAGCAGCGCATTGGCAATAGAAACATTCACATCAACTCCTGCCAACGCATTGCGTTGGATTATAGCACACCGACACTTACTTCTGCGCCATTGGCTTGCGGTCCCAGCTCTTTGCTAACTTTGCCACAGAACGAAAGAGGAGCATTGCTCGAAAATGTCCTTATGGGCGCACAGCATATTCCATGCAAGTACGGTATGCTGAATGCCAATGCGCCCCGTGGCTCATTGAGGAACTAGTGGGAAATTTGCTGTTTCTTCGTGGTGAGGGTTTTCAGTCCGACTTCGCAGATGCCGTGATTTACTGGAAGCATGAGATGGCAGGGGCCCTGGATGTTTTTAGGAACGCATTTGCCATGGTACACTAAAAAGCCTTGAGAAATAAGAGCATCGCATGTCTATATTTTGTGTGTTTCGCTTTCTGAATTTCGTGTAGCGCTGTCTAATGATTTGAGCTGAGTGAAAACGCGTACATGACCAGCATGTTTTCTGTGACGTCAATATAAGGAGCCTCCGTTTATTCATACCTGAACCGAGGCTCCCATTCATGGATTCTGGTGTACGTCGCCTTGCCAACAGTCATTCACTGCTCTTGTCCATTTGCACCGGTGCCTTATTTATTCAGTACTGCCGTTCACTCATTACTTGCACCCTTCCTTCCCATGCCAACAGCGCTTCCGACCAACGCTTTGACTGAACAGTCTGTACATACCGCATTGCTTGCTCAGGAGAGCCGAGACGAACAGATGCTCAAAGAAGCGCTCTGGACGTCGTACTTCCGCATACTTTGCTCGGACTTCGCCTCCATGCTGGACGGCCTGCGCTGCGGTGACGAGCGCATGCAAGCCAAGTGCCCAGCTCTTGTGAAATATTTCCTGGCCAACCAAATGTGGGCCACGGCGTCCTTCCTGATGAAGGCGGCCGCCGCGTCGAGGGCGAAGATCTCGGGTCCAAGGGTGCGCTTCCTGGGAGGTGAGAATTTGGCATCCAAAATGGCATCAAAAATTGGGAAGAAAAATTTTTTGGACACGAAAGATGGGGTCGGTGCCCAGGCATGGATGAAGGGCCGCTGTAGAGCGGCGCCGTTGCGTTGGGAGTTCCAACAAACGGGGGCGTGACAAATGCCAAGGGCGCGGCCGGCGCGTCCGAAGGTCGGATTGCGCCAAGGCAGCGAGGGGCTTGGAGACGGGGTGTGTGAGGGGATTGTACAGTTCCAATGCGCTGGGTGAGCAACATGCAGCACCCGTTTCAAGAATGTCGGAAGGGAGGGGCATTGGCCTGAAGGGATTGGGGTTTGGGTTATTGAGCGCAAGGATGTTGAAGGCCTATGGCTGGTTTTCTGGAGCGGCACGAACATCAAGATTTCCCAAGTCTCATTAGAGAGCTAGAGAGTGGTGCACGGGTGCCTCACGGCCCAAGTTTCCCAGCACGCTTCATAAATGTGGGTCCCATAAACAACAGTGGCATAAACGGTGGTGCTAAATGTCTAACACGTATTTGATGTGAATTTGCCGCTTGAAGTATTTCATGCGGTGGAGTGGTTTGTTTTGGTCACCTTGGTTTTGTTTCGCGTCTATTCCGCCGCTCTGGTGCCCATTTGGTGAGCTTGCCTGGTCCGAGCGCTCAGAGTTCGAGAGTTGTTTTCGGTCCAGCAAGATTGATCGACGCGACAAGCCATGTGGCCGAGCTTGCAGCCGCTCGCAATACGTTCATTTGCCTGTTCCGGATCCAATCCGATTTGTCCGGGACTGGGTCTCCCGTTGAGGGAGACAATTTGGAGAATGGCGGAATTCTGTATTTGTAGCATTTGATTATTTGCTGTCGCCGATGGCGAAGAGTTTGTGGCTTTGCCCTTGTTGAATGAATAAGGGCGTGAGAGAGCGAGAACTTGGCGCACATGCGCACGGACAATAAATGAAGGACTGTGGGGGCGTTTTGGTTGCAAATAAACAAGAATTTGTGGGTTCTGTGCGGCAGCTGAGAAAGCTTTTCAAGACAAATCCGTTATGGAATCGGGCATGCGGACAATTCTTTTTTTTAAATAATGGAGGTTGGAATTTGTAAGATGGTTTCTAAGGTCGTGTCCTGTTCGTGCGGGCAAGCAGTTCACCTGCGTTGTTTTCTGTCAAGCTGTGCCTGCCGTTGGCATGTCATTGAACTTAAACTGCCCTGGTGTGGCGTGTGTAAATTGGATGCACAACAATGCACCTGGGTGGCTAGATTTCAGCGTATGAGCATAAAGAATGGGCATGAGACAGTTCAAAGTAAATATCCACACCTATTCTAATGAACCAAACAGGAAGAGGCTCAGGTTTGTGTCTGTACGAAGAGGCAAGGATAGACATGTGGCACAGGGGGCCAGGATGTTCTCTGTTCTCTGGTATTTACTTCACTCACATCCATTGATTGTGAACGCTATCACAGCATTCGCGGAACCTGTGGGCGGCACGTATTGATGACGTCACCGCGGCAAGCCCGCTCGGCCAGCCAGGCAGGTCTTGGAGTGACGTGCTGCCAACAGAGCAGTTGTCGCAACAGCTCGAAGTTCGTGCTTGTGCGATGTCGTGCGGTCAGCGACAACCGTTTAGTTTGCAGTACATGCACATCAACAGCAACCGCGTACATCTGATATTTAGAACTAATCAAATAATTCCAATTACGTGAATTACTTGCCTTCATTTTGTATGCTAACTACATTAATATGTCAATTAGTTCTGACTATACAACAAAACCACATAGCCGCCACTGAACACACAAATTCGGCTCTCCTTCCGGCTTCTGGCCATCGATAATCGTTCCGAAAACTTGTCCGAGTGTGTGCCGCTCGGGTCAGTGAAGATTTGGCCAAGTGACATTCTGGCCAAAGTATTGTAACCATATTGGAGCCTCTGAAGTGCAGCCACAGCGTTCGGCAAAGCACTGTGAACGGGAAAGGCGCAATGGTTTAGCGGACTGCTCCAAAATAACTGTGGACTTGGCGCGAGCTAGATGGGGGCTCCATGCAACATTTGCAACAGCATGGCAGCCGCTGTGCATTACAGGTAAACTTGCCGGGGCTTGCTTCCATCCACGTTTCACGTCGCAAAAGCTGGCAAGGATCCCGGGCGTGGTCGCTATCTTCTGTCGACATATGGCCGTCGGAGCATTAGCATTTCAATGGGCTAATAGTTGCCGCCCACTGAAAATCGGCGCCAAGAAGTCAACGGTTCAGCGAACAATGGCCGGCGAAGATAGCCAACACTGTGTTGGAAAGGCACGATTGCTAACATGAACGGACTCAGTTAATTGATTCACACATTTTGTTTGCGGTCGCATTAGTTTTCAATGAACTGACCATAGACCCTGCTTTGCTCGAGCAAATAAGAAGCCTACGGTTACCTCATTGCCTTGTTCTGCAAAAATCGAAGATGGCGAACAGGCCCAGGTCTCTTGCTAATGAGCACCGTGGCCTCGTGGCCTGTGTCCCAGAGTACACTCCAAAATCGATGGGAGCGGATAGCCCATGGCTGGTGCGCATTGGTCAACAAAGCCATAGCTTCAGGCGGCATGAGTGGACTTGACCTGCTCTGCTCCAAGAGGACGGTTTCTCGGCCCTTGTGCCCATGCTGCCTGCTCGTGCCCAGCAGGTTGGGGATCAGGTGAAAAGGTGAATTTTACACCACATTGTTTCAGCCAAGACCGTCAGGGTTTGAGCTAGCAGCACTCTCTTGCGTTTCTGGCTGGATGGAACATCTTTATCGGTGGGGGCTATTGTCCCAGCGGTGCCATTCGGCCATCCGGATAGCACCGCATGTAAAAAATACAACATTAACGGTTGGGGAGCAACAGCACCACAGTAGCACATCCGATGCTAACCGGCGCCGAGCACTGCTATTCTGGCCCCGAATAGCACCGCTCGAGGCCAAAATAGCACCCTATTCGTGATGCTACATAATGACCACCGTTTCATTGGGTGATCACTTGTGTAATTGGCACATGATAGTTACCTACCATATGCACTATACACGCTGCATGAGATGGCCCGAGTATGCCACCGTTGCTAATGTAAAAGAGGAGAAAGAAAACAAAGAGAAAACACTTCAAAAATGGGCGATGAGTGGACAGCCGCAAACATTAGGAATGCGAACGAGGGCAGTGTAAAGTTAGGCAACAAAGGCTAGATGTGAGATGCCACCCTGTGTTCTCATCGGATTCATATCACTATTCAGCGCCCCAGACTGATTGGATTCATTGACAATTGTGGGAGGTCCTGGGCCTTGTTCAGTCCACCGCAAAATGACCAGCATTTACTGGCCACTTTTGCTTTCAAGGTGACTGATTATGCATAATCAAGGCGATGACCCACTGCTGGGATGGCCTGAGAATGCCACCAGAGATAGATAAATAAGTGAGTTTCCATGAGAGTTCTATGTCATTGAAAGGCCATGGATATGTCATGCCAATGCAATGGTTTGTGCATGGTGTGTGCCGAGGCCATGTTTTGGGTGTGCCGAGGCCATGGTTTGGGTGTGCCGGCGCCACGCTCATGTTATGAGTAAACAACGTCAGAAAGGGGACATCGTCTACGACATTCATCCTATAGAAATTCTTGAGGATTCCAATCATGCAGACCGGCATTGTCATGTCATCTTCTATCAGTAATACATCAGATACGCCAGGGTCTGTCATCAAGCTTGTACAAGGCTGCCGTCCAGTTTCGAGCATCATTGGGCCTTGTACTTTGGGCACGTTGTTTTCCTACTAAGGCTGATGATCGCTCTCACTGAGGCCTGCCTTGTCACTACGGCAGTTTGGGTTTTTACGGGAAAGTACTAGGAGGCCATGACGAACGCCAAGGTCTATCCGTTGGCGTTCTGGCAAACTGCGATCACTGCATGGCCGGAGGCTGGCAGCGCCTTGCTGCACGGGTGGCACGTCACTGGAAGCAGTACCAGGGATCCCGAGGCTGACAAGGTGATCGACAGGAACCTGGTTGTACATCGTCCCAAGGCTGAGAGGAATCTTCGTGTCCAACGGGGAGAGCCAATCAAGACGGACGCGGAGGGACAGATGCGGCTGGGATCTTGAGATGTGACAACGAGGATGAACTGACGGCGTGACAGCACGACATATCCCACTTTGAGGGCTGGAACGCAGGACTTGTGGCATGCCGCCGGCATAGCACAAGCATGGCCTGGGCATGCCACAAGGATGATCTTGGTAACCGATTGTGACTGATTTGGGACTGAAGTGACTTAGTAATTGTCTTTTATATGTTCTGCCTGAATGACAGCACAGACAAAGGGACGGACTAGGACGATGTTACAGTACAGGTCCGCGGCATGTCGCGACCTGAGATACTATAAATCCGGTCCGTCCACCCCAGTGGACAGAATTGAAGTGGGACAAGTCCTGGGGGTTGTAAGACCCGGATTCGTTCGGCTGCTGGTGCATCTCCCGTCTCTGCCCGACCCTGGAGCACGCTTTTCACCTGTTGCGACTCTGAGGTGGTGTGCGACTGCGTGGCGTTGTTTGTCGGGCAGCGGCTGACTGAGAGGGGGGGATCATTGGCTCCATGTCGCGCGGACATGGGTCGATTCTCGGGTTGCGTGTCGGGATGAGGATCTCTCGATCGGTCTTGTGCGGGTCCTCGCCTTACCCGTGTCAGGCCGGTTTTGGACATGGGAGTTGCATGGAAGACGGTGATACACGCCTTTCATGATGGGGTGTCGCCGATTCTGTGTGGGAGAGATTCCGAATCTCGATTTCGTAGCCGCGGGAAGCTGGAGTGCGCATGCAAGCCCGTTGGTCCAACCTGTCAGGGCTGTGCGTGTGTCGACGACGAGCGCGGGAGGTGTCGGTAACAGCGTGGTCGGATTTAGTAAGCGCTGAATTCGTCGTGAGAGGTCGCTCGTGTCAAGAGCAGGAATATGATCTGGTGTGCATGACCGAGCATGGCATGGTGTCGATTCATGGGCGCTGGTACTGCGCAAGGCTGCGATGTGCCGTGGGTGCTTCCGGGAGGGTGTCACGATGATCCGGGGACCTGATCAAGCCCGGCGGGTCATGGGTGTACTGCCCGAAGATGGAGGTGGGTGGATCGTTGCTCTTGTTGTCAGGTGGAGTCATGTGAGAGGCA